GACAAAACCACAGCACCGCGCAGCACTGAAAACTTGTAGTCCACGCCCACCCGCAAGGTGGGCCCCACCCTCGGGCCCAGGAACGTGCACAGGTAGGGGCTAATGTTGCCCGGGCAACGGCCCGTTTGGCCTTTTTGGCTGACCTGCCCCTCTGGAGAGAGCGAGAGTTTGTTTTTATTTTTTCTGTTGTGGCCGAATCAATATGATAAGCCCACAATGAGTATTGTAGCGTCTCGCTGCGGGAAACACACTTTGTCAGCGCTGTCATCTGCCGGTGCGTTAAGAACACCTCAGTGTCGGATTTTGGAAACTTGATTTTGAGTTGTCTCATGGCGCAGTTAGGGTATAAGGGACAAACCAGGGGACTTAACTTCCTCTTGATACCGTCGGTTATTTACAAAAAAACACCTAAATATAGCCTACAATGTAAAAAAAGATCGTAATTTTACAGGAAATAACTGTACATTTTTATAGTAATTATCATGTTTTTTTAAATAACTTGCAAAATCCTGTAAAATGACAGATATTAACTATAAATTAACAACCCAAAACATTATTTTAAGTATTTTGACAATAACAACAAATAACGTTTATTGAATTTTTTTTTACAGTAGATTTACTATATAATATTAACAGTATTTTTGCACTTTCAGAAAATACATGCAGATGTACGTAAAATAAAAAGTATTATCTGTAATTAAATATGTAACTCGTAATATAAAAGTGTATTACTATTATAAGACATTAAGATATTTCTTTGTAATTTGAAGGTAAACAAAACTGTAAAAAAAGTCAACTAAAAAAAATGTAAAATGTAAGTAAAACATTTTAATATAAATAATTGTCTCTATATTCGATTGAATCCACCACAAACACAAAATATCCAATGTTGAAACAAAAGTAAATAAATGTTTTCATGAAATTCCTACCTTACTATATTGTCAAAATCTACAGTCTGAGTCAATATAATTTATCATGTACTAAATAATGTTAATATTTACATGAATTATGTGACCATCTGTTTCCTGTAGTTATTGAATTGCTCTTTTTACTGCACTGTTAGTGTACAGCTTATTATTATGCTGCTGTGTTTATTGTATTTGTGTAACTCTGGCACAACCATTTATTTCGGGATGAATTAAGTCCTATACCTTATCTCATCATTTAAACAATTTTTTATTTGTATTTAAAAAATAAAAATCAGAGAAAGTGGAGAAATCTCTGCAGGGACAAAAACAAGCATTGACTGTCTGTTACCTTTGACCCCCCCTCAGACCTTCTCAGTTTGTAATGTTAAATTGACTTTAATTGTCAAGCTGTAGTGCTGCACCCATATATTTCTATGGTGTAAGCTAAATTACATTACTTTTTTTTTTTAGCACAAGGAAAACAAACAAGACAGGACAGAGTTCAATCCACATTTGTGGTATTTATTCTGTCAAATTCAAACCATGTGAAGTCAAGGCATATATATATATGAACAACATTCAGGAACACTTCACTGGACTCAAATGTAATTTGTGGAATTGAATAAGAAAGTGGAAAACTAAACTAAAGATAAAACCATCATCCAACAGACAAACTGTCCTGTACTTTTATATAATGTGCTGAACGTGCCATGTCAGCAAAAAAACGAAAAAAAAGATTTTCAAAAAAACAACATCATCCAGATTGTAGTTCACATCATTGTGATGACTTTTTATTCGGTCCACTCAAAATGAGCTATTTTGGTGATCAGACTCAGCACCCTTGGATTGACTGCATGCTGGCGCCCCTTTTCCTTTCTCTTCACTTTGGTCCCCTTGTCAGAATTGATTTTGAAGATGCATCTGTTGGAAAAAGAATGTTCAAGTATGAGATTTAAAGTGATAACCTGTTCTGGTATTAAAACTCCTGTAAAAAAAAAGTAAACAATTTGAGTTGCAAAAACAAATCTCAGATCGTAAAGGATGTTAAAGAGCAACTTGCAGGTTAGACACACCAGTGAATAAATGTGTAGGAAAATTATGTATTGTATACACTAGATTTTCCCAAAAATATACATAAATATACACTACAGTGACATCTGGCGTTGTTTTTGTAAAACATTTTTACTTCCGCATAAAAAAAGCCTCCCCACGTGACTCCCGCGTGTGACGTAACATGATGGAGAGCGGCCGGTCTAACCTATGAATAAACATGGATCACAATGCTAGTTTTGACACAGAAGAGGTTGAAAATAAATATTCGAATGCATATTACGGACCAAAACCATATAATTATGAGCCTGCTAGGCGTCCAAGAGACCAGGAGCAGCCAAGGATTAGAAGGAATAACGGCCATCGGAGAGAAATGGAGCTGTGGTGTGAGGAGAACCAGTGGAGAGCTGGGCAGCTGTCAGTGACCACCGTTAGCTACAGTTAATGTTAGCTAACGTCAGTCGCGTCGCTAAAACATCCAGGTATGAGAAAATAGCTATAATGCTAAGTAGCCTTGAAGTTATACCACTGTGGTTTTACAACGATCAGGCGGAGAAAGGTTGTGGAGCCTCCGTTGATATGCCGTTGTAAATGGCTTGATGGAAAGCAGGTGTGTAGTAGGGGAGGGTGCACAGCTGATTGCAGCAGGTGAGTGGAGGTTGAGCCGGGAGCCAGGAGTGACAGCCACCACGCCCACACACACAACACAGACAGGGGGAAACAAACAAACACAAAGGAGACGGCTGGAGCAGTACAGTCACCACAGCGTTACCTAATGCAACTCCACACTATGTCTTACGGTGCTGTGTACCGTAGGGGGGAGAGAGAGGAGCGAATGGGGGGAGAGAGATGTAATACGGTTTCCTGATAAACGTTTTGTTTGACAGGCCTCAGCTGTGGAGAGTATGTGCTGCAGGGAGGTGGATGCACCTCGCACAACACACCCAGGAACGAAAGCTAGCTGCGGTCCTTTTCCTGTTAGGGAAACTGTGGACTCGATGTCCTGACAGGCTGGAGTTTGTGCAACCTGCACAAACACCAGCTCACCATGATTACAAATGGTGAAATACAATGTAAAATTACCAGCTCACTAAATCACAACCGCTCAAACCAACTACAAACTACTGGCAGGAATTCAGAGGGAAAGGAGCCGTTTTGAGCTCTGCTACTAAAAACAGCTTTTTTTTTACGTCAAATGCGTCATTACGTCACATGGGGGAGCAACTTTCTCGGACTCCTTCTCTGCCCAATCCGCGATATAATTTTCAGGCAAGGTTAAGCATAAATGTAGTAAAAAAAATAACCTGCAAGTTGCTCTTTAAGATGTCAAGGTTAGGGTTAGGGTTAGGGTCACTGTTAACACAATGGAAATAAATGATTTTGTAACGAAACGAATACATTTAACTATTTTAAAGCTTCTATTTGATTACTTGGATTATATTTGAAAATTCTCAATTCAGTTTGAAATGACATGTTTTATGTCATTTCAGAGTCAAGAAGTCTGAGGAAGTAAAGACAAAGACCATGTGGTTTCAAGAAATTCTAGACAACATAGGCTAAAGAATTGTCTTTACATTACACTCCTGCACCTCCACCTCTGCAATCTGTGCATTGCTTC